CTTATGCTTATGCTTTGCTTAAATTACGCGCTTAAATTACGTTTTTTTTGTCAAGTAACTATATATTTTTGACAGGTACTGGTAGTTTACTCCAAAAATGCCTCTTCTGTAGACGATTTTGTTAAAAAACGAGGTTCTATCAAACGTTTGGTGTTCCTCGATTCAACATGGTTCCAGGTTTATTTTATGACATTGCATTTTGACTGTTATTCTTCAATAGTAGTTACCAGATCTTTTTTTAACAGTACAAAAGATTTTGTTTCTAAGCTGATATTCTGCTGAGCGCTATCGAGTAATACTCGGTAGAGAAAAATTCTCATAAAATGCCAAATTTTAATAAATTTTAATTTCTGTCCAGACATCACACGGTTCTTCCCCGTTTAAAAAATATATTTGGGTAAATAGCCAACACAGTTTTTTTTCTAGATTGGCGGATTGAAATTATTGCCACAGCTACAACATCTTCCTATTGTGACATTACGATCTTACAAAACGAAATATTGGCGTCCTCAGGTTGAGTTTTAAATACTGGATATCACTTTATCATCTGCATTCATTCCTTTCGTCTACAAAATAAAAATGAATGCCTGTGTGTTTTCTAAATCATCGGTATTCCTTTTGAAAGGAAGAATCATTTCCATTTGATGCTTTTAATCTTCTGAGGAGATTTCAGCGAGGCTTGACGGATTATCATCTTGCTACAATTGAAGCAATCTATTATGCGCTTAGAGAGGCTTTTGAAACTTCATCTACTACAAAATATAATGGTTGTTTTGATGATCTTTTATTCTGGTTTTTTATTTTCCGTTCAAAAGTTGATAAAGGCCTTTTGAAACGCAAAGGATGAAATGTTTTGTAAGTTACGCATAGTTTTATTACGGAATGGTAATTTTATTGATATTTTTCACAGTGAAAAAAAGATTTATGATGCCATAGAGATTCAATTTTTGATTTGATCATCTTTCTATCATTTTCTGAATGAATACTGATCAAAGAAAAAAAACGATACAGACAAATCGAACATTCAATTTTGTTAACGTTTATAGGTTTTGCTACCATATTAGCAAAAGGAATGCAACTCAAATCATGCTTTAGCTGATACTTTTCCGTTCCATAATATACAGGACTAGAATAGATAGTATTTTCAAATTACATTATGCATTCTGCTTTTGCAGTATAGTAGTAAATCTGCGTCAGATGGTTGTCACTTCCGTTGATTAGAGTTTTTATTGGATGTCATAAAGCGTAGCACATCTCTAGGCAGTAAAACCAGACTGCATTTTATTCAACAGTTGGCTCACCAGGATGTTCTTCATCTTCCACTATTTCCTGCATTAGCCTACTGAACTGCAGTTCTCGATTGTATGCTCGGAGTAGAACATATTCTCGGTCACGGAGCATTTTCAGATGTTTTGCTTGCATAACCGCAGACCATGTGTACAGATTTTTATTAATCAGATATGCAACCTGCATTAGCAGAAGATAAATTATTACCGTTGTTATCCACAGCACAGTAACGGCTTCTTCGTTTTTGTTTGCATATGCGCCACTTTTCATCATAAACTGCAACATCGCTGTTACATATCAGAACGGTCTACTCTCGCTAAGATAATAGGAGGAAAGTTCGTAAATCAATTGATATAATGAAATTTACAAAAGTTACATTTGATGTTTATAGTTACTGGGAAATGACAATTGTTTTAGTTTTAGTTCGACTCAGTTTTGGGTTTTCTATAATATAGTTTTTATCTTATATCGTCATTTGATAAAAAGATTATCATGATACCTTTACAGGATTGAGTATAATCGAATCTCAAATTCGGCCAGGCTTTCGTTGTAAAACCTTTAAAATGTAGAAACTGAACCAAATGAAATGGAGAGCTCACCACCGCCAAGATGATTTTAGATAATACAAAATGCATTCTTAAAGAAGAATTATGGTGAACATTAATGTAGATCGAATGGAGGGACTTTGTGAAAAATTGAAGATATTGTAGCGAATATTGTTCGGGTTCGTTTGAGAGGGTGATGTCGGAGACCACTATTGCCAGCTATGTAACGCGAGATGTCGT